CTCCGGTTCTGCCAGATGCTCTACTGGATGGAGCACAAATCTGATGTTTTAAAAACCACACACTTCAGTGAACATAAATTTTACTGGAAACATTTCTATTGATCTTCCAGTCTAACATGGTTGGAGTATTTGATGTACATTGTACATGGTTTCCTAATGATATCAGCTTATCCAGGGTTCATACAAAAAATTGCAACTAGGAATACAATTTCACAGATTGTACAAAAATGTACATTCCCAGTCTATTCTAATAAGGCTTTAAGGCTTGAACTGTTTGCTTCACCAACTTCTCTACATTTTTTAGTTCACTTCTCTTGAATTGATAGTTAATCATTACATAAAACATTGAGCTCTTTATGTAAATAACCTTTAAATTCTCTGAGCTATGATTTTTATCGTCTCAGACAACCAAAAAACATCAAAAAATACTTTCCAGGCCACTACATTCAAAGTTGAAGAAAATTCAAGGACTTGCACGGGAATTTAAGGACTTTTCATGGGAAAATGAAATTCAAGGACTTTTCAAGACAGTGTGAACCCTGATATCTGAAGGAGTCTAAAAGGCTAGCACTACTTATGATTAAGCGCAAAAACCTCACAAACAACAGAGAAATATATAGGGCAACCATTTCAACCACTGCATGGTTTAACTAAGGTCTGGCAGAGAATGGTTGATGAGGCTGTACAGAGGGCACCCAATTGTAGCCTGCGTAGCTGGCGGTATTGTGTAGTAGTCGAGTGAGATTTGGCGGCAGAGTCGTTGTAATATAGTCGAGTGAGATTTGGCGGCGGAGCCGTCACGAGCAGTGAGGAACACCGCTCCGCTGCCAAAACTTTAATCTCGCACCCACACAATACCGCCAGTTATGCAGGCTACCCAACTGGCACTTCCTCTCTTTCATAACTAGGTCAGGTGCCAAATTGTTCATGTGACACAACTACTTCTCAACGACCCTCTTTTTTTGAAATGGAGGTTTGATAAATTGGTGTTTGTTCAGTTCAAAGGAGAGAGGCACAGTATTTGACCTCATAACTAAGCGTCTCCCTCGCTTAGCACAAGCGCGAAGGATGGTTGGGCACTGCTTCTACTGATGTACACCAGACCTCTCAGGCCATATACAGGACACACAAGTTTTCTTTTCTTTTTTTTTTTTGAAAACGCTTACAAACAAGCGTCTATTGAACAATATAGAGGTCAACAGAAGCGGATCTTTCCGAAGTAGAGAATAAGCAAACGCGTTTTTTAACTAACTTGTGTGAAAATGGCCTCAGAGTTTGGTGAAAGAACGACTTGCTTTAATTATTCTATGAAAACAGGGTGATCAATAAAGAAGTTTGAAAGTGTTGTTTTATTAAAAATATCCTCTCCGTTTTAACAACTAATAGCTTTAATGTAGCTTCTTGATTTAGTTTTTGAAAATTTATAGCCTCGACGCAATTATTTTGATATGAGGTACACGTATGCATTGAATATTGTTAAATGCCATGGAATACAAATCTTTAATGTACAATCATTCCCCTTCTGTTTTATAAGCAAAACCATGCTTTTTGCAACACTGTAATGTGAAATTTAGGCAGCTCATTTGTTTTTGGTTGTTTGTTTTTATGATTTCTCAACTTCATGGCCGGACAAACGGAGAATTCTGGACCCTACCTTATTTCTAGACCTGCAGAGCCAAGAAAAATCACCACCCCCCACCCCCCGCCTATCTTACATTCTTGAAGGTCCAAATCCGCCAATGATCTGCGCTTTCATTTGTATTTGTTATTTAAACCTTCTCTTACTGCATTAAGGGGTTGTTTAATGTTTCAGCCAATAAGGTGCCAATTCTCACTGTCTGAATTTGGTTGAATTTTGTGACACGTCTTCTTTAAGCACCTGAAATGATCAGCGTCTGAATATCCGTAAATGCAAGGAGAGCCACAGCATTCCACTGTAATTAGCCTGCATGGCAGCTGGCCCATGCATTGGTTTTGGTTTCCCTATACAGGCAGTTTAGAGTGTCTGCGATGCAGGCTATCCACTGTCTGCCCTTGCGAAAAGAGATTACCACCTGGAGGCTAGGAGGCATATACAACCGAATAAAAGATAGGGACTGATGATTTTCGTGGCTATAAAGTGCTAAGAGTTTATCGTAAGTTGAGCGAATCCAATTAAAGTTTTGTCGTCCACAACTTCATTTGAATTGCTGCTTGATTTCTGAAACAGAAAGTTATCAAATATTTAAGTGACGTGCAGAAAATTCCTTAAAGCTACGAGCTACTTAACGAAAACTCGGAGGACTATTTCAGGAAGAAATTTGCGCACAAGCTCTCCATTAACCACATACGTGAGTCACGTATGACCTCTCGCGCACGCAGTGTCAGGCCCCGTGACCCACTTCCCATGACTTCCCTTTCGTATACAGTCGTTGCCATTTTTACCGATCGATACCACCATTGGTAATTAAGCCTTTAGTTATTATAGATGTAATATATTCCCAGGATAACGTTAAAAATACATTAAGGAAAATAATACATTTTTGAACATTCTTAGAAAGAACGACGCCTTCTGAAGCCCAACTTGAATTTACGTTAAAAGTTGAAGAAAAGAAAGGCTAGGGTCGCCTGATAAAGAGTATCAGTTATGACAGACAGTTTATTAGATATTTACTTAAACGTTTCGCCGGAATTTTGGTGGGTCGGTGTGGTAGTGTAAGGGTAACGTACAAACGAACCTCTCAGTACGGACAACTCTCTATTACGGACAGTTTCTAATGTCCCGACAAAATTCTCATATATTTTCTTACAAAAAAAACCCTCTATAATACGGACCCTCTCTAATACGGACAACGGACACTGTCTCGGCCCCATGCAGAGAGCAAATTCCTATAGACTTAACCTCTTTATTACCGACACTGCGGTGATCAGGTGAATCTCGAATCCCGATCAGGTGAATCTGCACAGGCATAGGTACAGAGGCCAGGGGTGGGGGGAGGGGCGGAGCGCAGAAAGGGAAATTTGTCGGTCTGTTAACGCAAGGTTGAACTGCAATACTTACCAATGGAAACATCATGGACTTACTGCTTGGTGGATCATCGATTACTTTTTTAAGATTAGCGGCAACTGAAAAGGATAAAGAAAAATAAATAATGTGACGGACGAAAATCCCTGAAACGAAATTGCAGTAGGAGAAAAACTTCACTTACAGGTTATTTTCGTTGATATTAAAATGATTACAAGTAAACCCAAACAAACAGCATTTCGAAATAAAGAAAGTATTAGATGTCATTGGCGCAAGGAAGTACAAGCAAGTGATTTAGCGAACAGCCTCGGCTTTTTCATTCGATGCAAATCTATAGCTGCCCTCGGTCAGTGTAGACGGGCGAAAAAAGCACACGAGCGATAAACGGCGGGAAGAGAGAAGAGAAGAGTCTCTAAGTATCTTTAAAAATACCACAGTCTGCCCACTACCCCGCCAACTTCAAAATGAAATATGTTAAAATGCCAAAATCTGCTGTTTAGGAGGGTTTCACACGCTCGCTTTGCGTTTTCTTTGTCTCTACGTGCGCGAAGCTAAACTATTGACGAGGTTGACGTCAACTGCCAAAAAAACACCAATCATAGGGTACCAAGAGCTGGTATACTGGAATGGTGCTTTCAGTCCACTTCCCTGCCTCTCCCCAGCTCCCCCGCGGTTTTTTCACAACTTTTCTCTTTGCGCTATCTTGGAGCCTGGAATGGGCTATTTGTAAGTTTGATAGTTCAACCAAAGTACAAAGATCTTTCGTTCAACCACCCAGATTTACCGTCAGCAGAATGGTTTTGCGGCATGCGTCTTAAGTGCTTCCCTGCCTAAGTTTATCCAAGAGGAGCAATTCAGTACTGCTCAAAAGTTGCAAGTCGCGACTCGTTCCCTACGCGATAAGAATCGCGTCGGGGTGTGCTACG